GGGGGGGGGGGGGGGGGGCTGTCTCCATCGTGGGTGAGGCCGAGGCCAGGAACATGGACGAGAATGAAATCTTCGTCCCTGTTCCCACTGCGAACAAGGTCGAGGCCAAGAACCGGGACGAGAATGTAATCTTCGTCCTTGTCCCCATTGCTAGGGGCCTATGCCAAAAACAAGGATGAGAATGTAATCTCTGTCCCTATTCCCACCGCGGACGAGGCCAAAACCAAGAACAGGGACGAGAATGTAATCTCCATCCCTGTCCCCACCACAGGTGAGGCGGACAGGTGAGGCTGAGGCAAAGAATGTAATCTTCGTCCTTGCCCCCATCGTAGGCGAGGCCAAGGCCAAAATCAAGGATGAAAATGTAATCTCCATCCCTGCCCCCACCACGGGCGAGACCGAGGCCAAAAACAGGGATGAGAATGTAATCCCCGTCCTTGCCCGCGAAAACAGGGATGAGAATGAAATCTTCGTCCCTGTCCCCATCACGAGCGAGGCTGAGGCAAAGAATAGGGACAAGAATGTAACCTCTGCCCCTGTCCCCACTGCGGGCGAGACCGAGGCCAAAACACGAACGAGAATGCAATCTTTGTCCCTGTCCACACTGCATGCAAGGTAAGGCCGAGGCCAAGAACAAGGACGAGAATGTAATCTTTGTCCCTACCCCATTTAACTTAAGGAGAAAAATCTCTTCCAACTCTCTTCTCTTCTTTTCTCCATTTCAACGTGGATTCTAAATAGACATCTCTAATGATAAATAGAAGTACCTAGATGCCAGGTTGCTCCAGCCCGAGAAGTGCCACTTTCATAGACGTTACGAAACCTAAACTTCACATCCGGACCCATGCTTTGAGTTAGTTCTTTAAAGAACTTGAGAGCAGCCTGCAAGTAGGTTCCATGGACTATCAAGAACAGATTTCTTCTCTACATTCATACTAGTATGAACGAGAACACAAAAATACCTCCTTCCCTATAAATGCTTCATCAAACAAGGAGTCCTCAATAAGGCAATCTTCTGAGATGTAACTACTCAATTCCTTCAACTTCTTTTCATTGATGCACTCGTAGAATTTCTTAACCATTTCTGATGGAGAATTTGAACATGAATCTAAGCTACAAACCGAGCCGTCCTTTAAGCACGACAACACGAAACGGGGCTTAACGTCGGTGACTAATGTGTAGCTTGTTTTCCTAAGCTTCTTTTGTTGAAACAAAGATGAGGGTTTCTTAGGGATGGATGTATATGCAAATGTTCTAAATGGTTGGGAGCCCAAGGTGAGAGCTTGAGGAGGAGGGCTCGTAATAAGGGCCATTGTGAGTATTAGTTCATTGCAGGAGGAGGATGGATGGGGGCCTCTTATGAAGACTCACCCAAGAAAGTGCTTTAAAGGATACTACAAAAGGGTTTAAAGATGGTGCCATTTTGGTGGAAATGGGTTAGGAATATCACTGATTTTGCCTTGGGAGCTAAGCAACGAAGCTTTTCTCTGGTATGGTTTGGTTAACTTTGGAATGTTTTGAAAAACCCTAAAATTATTTAACGAAAATGTTCGTTAAATTGTGCGATCTCACATCCCAGAGAATAACAAAACATTCTTATAAGTAATGGACGAGTTTTGAAACTGTGTGACTAACCGTGATGCGTAATGGACTAAAGCGAACAATATATACTAACGGTGACTCATGCATGTATCAAGGTCAAACGTTCACCCCAACCTAAAGGGTGAATTGACCCAAAATAACTTTTAAAGTCTATTTTTTTTTTTTTAAATTACATCTACTCTAATTATTATGAAAATGATGTTTAACTATTTTATTTTCTTTTTTAAAAATGTTACTTTTCCCAAAAAAAAAAAAAAAAAAAAAACTTTATAGATAATAAAAATATATATCACAAAAAGGAGATAAAAATAAAAACAATTAGCAATGGATGAAAAAAAAAATCTATTTTTCTTAATTCCTACTATGAATATTGTTAAAATATTAATATAATTAAATTTATGGTAATCTATCCCTTTCAATTTTAAAATTTATGGTAATATAATAATTATTTAACTGGATTGAAAAATCATTTCCTCGTAATTAAAATATATTGGATAGCGAAGGATAAATTCATTTAGTAAAAAGAATCCAAATAAAAATTGTTTTTTTCTCTTTTTAGAAATGCATTAAATTTGGAAATTTATGAAATTTATGCAAACTCACAGTTATTTAATTAATTGAACATATATTTTTTTAAAAAATAATAAATAATGAAAAAAAAAGAATTAAGACCAACCTATATCTAATAATTAAAATTAACGAAGAATTCTGTCTTTAGTGGCTCCCTAATCATATACTAATTTAAGATTTCCTTGAAACATTAATATCTTAATTTGAATTAGTGAATAATTAGCTTTATTATTGAATTTTAATTTTAGAGCAAATGAAATGACTCCAAAAGGAAATAATAAAAAGCCATAAAAAAGCATTTTTAGCTGTCTCATTAATATATTGTTTGGAACTTTATTCTCAAAATAAAAATAAATAATTATTATTTTTTCACTTTAAATTTTCATTAAAAAAAATTAAATAATTTCAATTAAAGAAAATGATCAAATTTTTCGAGATCTCAATTTTATAAAAATACCAATAAAATTTGAATCTGAACATTTTTAGACACAACTTAATTATTGTAAAAAAAAAATTAGTTTATAAAATATTTATTTGTTTATTTTTAGAAAGTTAATTAAGATTTACGATTGAAAATTATTTTAAAGAGGGTAGAAGAATAAATAATAAAAATATAAATATTAAAACTAAACTAAATTAAAATAAATTTTATATATTAAAAATATATCGTAAATAAAAACGAATTTTTAAAATTAATAATTAAAATATTCAACAAAATCTAAATATTTTCACCCCTGAAATAGGGTTGTTATGATTTATCGAATTTTTTAATATCTAAAATAATTAAAAACAAGAGTAAATAGAGGCCAAAAGGTGGACCCCACCAGGTAAACCAGTCCAGTCTATTGAAGAACCGCGTAAAATACAGAGTGCAAAATTATCCTCTACGACGCCCTCATCAGTCATCCCACAATTCTCCACCGTACGATTAATCTCCTCCCCATCTCGTTGCTCGATTTGGGCCCCATTAATTATCTCAACCGTCCAATTTTACACAAAACCCAAAAAGCTCTGTAATCCCTTCGCCTCCTCTGTCACTCACAAGACCGCCCTCCTCATCCCCTTTACTCTTTTTTCTCTGTAAATCTCTTAAATTCCTTCATTTTCAATCCGCATTGTTTAAAGGGTCCGATAGGGATTTTCCGATCACCCGATTCTTCTTCTTCATTTTCAGAAATGAAAGACTCAGAGAAAGTGTTTTGGGATCCGATGAAGAATCCCGCCGGAAACAACCGCATTGCCGCCTTCAATTCTCAGTCCAGAGCCTCCTCTAAGCTCCTCTTGTATCTAATCTTCTTACTCTCTTTCACTTACTTCATTTATTCTCTCAAACTCCTCTCCTCCTCCCGCCCCTGTTCCGACCTTCAATCATTCTCCGCCTCCTCCTCCGCCACCGCCACCGCCATACATTCACTCCTCAATCTCACCGCCGCAGACCCAATTTCACTTCCGCCCCCACTACAGACATTACCCACAACCAATCAGACGGAGATTCAACATGTCGTATTCGGAATCGCCGCGTCGGCGAAGCTGTGGAAACAGAGGAAGGAGTACATCAAGCTTTGGTTCAAACCGGAGGAGATGAGAGGGACGGTTTGGTTGGATAGGAAAGTGAAAACCGATGAGGATTCCAATGACCTCCCGCCGATTAGAATCTCCGGCGATACCTCCAAGTTTGCGTATAAGAACAAACAGGGGCACCGATCGGCGATTCGGATCTCGCGAATCGTGTCGGAAACTTTCCGTTTGGGTTTGAAAGACGTGCGGTGGTTTGTAATGGGCGATGATGACACCGTTTTCGTGACCGAGAATTTGGTTAGGGTTTTGAGGAAATATGACCATACGCAATTCCATTACATCGGAAGCCTGTCGGAGAGCCATTTGCAGAACATTTACTTCTCGTATTCAATGGCGTACGGCGGCGGTGGGTTTGCCATTAGCTACCCGTTGGCGAAGGCTTTAGTGAAAATGCAGGATAGGTGTATACAGAGATACCCCGGATTGTACGGGTCCGATGACCGGATGCAGGCTTGCATGGCGGAGCTGGGCGTTCCGCTGAGTAAGGAACTCGGATTTCACCAGGTATGATTTTAACTAAATTGTGATTTGGGTTTGTTTGCTCCTGCTTTTGGTGGTTCCATTTTGTTACCGACATTTTCTGGAAGCATAGTTAGCTGTGGATGGCCCGAGTTAGGGCGGGTAGTTAGCTAGTCATCTCCTCACCCTTTATTTTATTTTATTTATTTATTTATTTAAATAAAGAAGCCGGGTTTAGATTAAATTGAATCTTCATTGTGGATGACGAGTTAGGGCGGGCAATGTCGAATCTTGATTTTCGTGTAGACATCTCTATTTAAGAATTAGGAATTTAGAATTTTGATAAATAATTAATTGAAATTTGACTTAAAAGACTCGAACTCTCAAGAGGGTGGATTGGGTGGATTGTGAGATTATAAGGGTATAGAAACCTCTCTTGACTAGCTGGCCTTCAAGAGGGTGAATTGTGAGATTATAAGGGTATAGAAATCTCTCCTGAATAACGAAGACGCTAGCTCTCAAGGGAGTAGATTGTGAGATTATTAGGGTATGGAAACCTCTCCTGAGTAGCGAAGACGCTGGCCCTCAAGGGGTAGATTGTGAGATTATTAGGGTATGAAAACCTCTCCCGAGTAGTAAAAACGCTGGATGCTGGCCCTCAAGGGGTAGATTGTGAGATTATTAAGGTATGAAAACCTCTCCCGAGTAGCAAAAACGCTGGCCCTCAAGGGGTAGATTGTGAGATTATTAAGGCATGGAAATCTCTCGAGTAGCGAAGACGCTGGCCCTCGAAGGAGTAGATTGTTAGATAATAAAGATATGAAAACCTCTATCAAAGTAGAGGGTTCCTTTGAAAAATTCTCAATTATATAACAATTTTGAATTTAAAAGGAAGTATTAAAATAGAATAAATGATAAATGATAAATAAAATTTAGGGTATTTTTTTGGTTGGGCGAAAATGGGTCAAATTTTTAAATATTACAAAATAAAACATAAAAGTCACCGAAGATTTACTATTTGCTTGTCGGTATAGTGTGGGACCCACTTTGTCGAAAGACAAGAGCTGTCATAATACAGAAGTTTGTTATGTAGTGACACGTGTCGTTGATTGCGTGGTCCCCACTTGCCTTTTCAACTGGAGTAGTGGAAACTTTGAATAAAACGTAAAAATGTTTTGAATTTCTTATTTGGTTGTTGTAATTATTGACAATGTTTGTAATTTGAATCTTGGGTTTGTATTTTGAAATTTAATTGAATCATCCAATCAGTATGATGTGTACGGGAACCTATTCGGCCTGCTCGCTGCCCACCCGATCGCACCATTCGTGTCGCTTCACCACCTCGACATAGCCGAGCCAATCTTTCCCAACGTCACACGTCTCCAAGCTCTCCAACGTCTTGCAATTCCAATGAAGCTCGATTCGGCTGGTCTAATGCAACAATCCATATGCTACCACAAATCCAACACTTGGACCATTTCCGTCTCGTGGGGCTTCGCCGTCCAAATCTTCCGCGGCATCCTATCGCCGCGTGAAGTCGAAATGCCAGCTAGAACATTCCTCAATTGGTATCGTCGAGCTGATTACAAAGCCTATGCATTCAACACCCGACCCGTCAGTCGAAATCCATGCCAGAAGGCATTTGTGTTTTACTTGTCCAATGCTGCTGCACAAATGAACTCGACGACAGAGCAGACGGTCAGCAAGTATACTCGACACCGAGTGGCACAGCCGACGTGCAAGTGGAAGAGCCCGAGCCCAGGTCGCATCGACATGGTGAAGGTGGTGAAGAAGGCAGACCCCAAGTTGTGGGACAGAGTAAGTAGTTTGTATAAAAAAAACATTAAAAATATGGTGTTTGAAAGCTTTTGGGAATGATTTTGGTTGTGTTGTGTTTTTTTGCAGTCTCCGAGGAGAAACTGTTGCAGAGTGATGAAATCAAAGGAGAAGAAGACGATGATGGTGGAAGTTGGAATATGCAGAGAAGGTGAAATCAGTGAAGTTTAATTAATGGAGATTCATCTTTTTTATTTTCTTTTCTTTTTTCATAATTTTTTCTATGTATTTGAATATACAAATTAAGGCTGTATTCCAATACTTTATATATAATTTGATCTAAATTATTGTACAATTTTCACTAATTTACTCACTAATTTTACTTTACGACCCAGGTACCATTTGTAACAAGTCAAACCCACTAGCCAACTAATATGGGATTTCACAATCCACTCTCTTGGAGTCTTGCTTTCTTGCTCGAACACCATCGTGTCTAGCTCTAGTACTATTTATAACTACTCAACCCCACCGCTAGCCAACCAACTAATGTGGGATCTCACAATCCAACCCCTTGGGGTCTAGTGTCCTTGGTGGAACACCGTCTAGTAGCCAACCAACTAATGTGGGATCTCATAATCCAACCTCTTGGAGTCTAGTGTTCTTGGTGGAACACCACTTAGTGCCTCGCTCTGGTACCATTTGTAATATCCTAAGCCCACCACTAGCTCGATCTCATAATCCACCCTTATGGGTCTCACTGGAACTCTGGAACCATTTGTAATATCCTAAGCCCACCAGTGGCTCGATCTCACAATCCACCCTTATGGGTCTCACTGGAACTCTGGAACCATTTGTAATATCCTAAGCCCACCACTGGCTTGATCTCACAATCCACCCCTTGTGGGTCTCACTGAAACTCTGGTACCATTTGTAATATCCTAAGCCCACCACTAGCTCGATCTCACAATCCACCCCTTGTGGGTCTCACTGGAACACCACTCAGTGTTTGGCTCTGGTACCATTTTTATCAGCCCAAGCCCACTGCTAGCCAACCAACCAATGTAGGATCTAACAATCCACCCCATGTGGGTCTCGCTGGAACACCACTTGGTGTCTAGCTTTAGTACCATTTGTATCAATCTAAGCCTACTGCTAGTAAATATTGTCCGCTTATACCATACATATCGTTGTCAGCATCATGGTTTTAAAACGCGTCTACTGGAAGAGGTTTCTAATGGTCACCTCCCCAACCAATATGGTCGGCTTAAGTTGTTACAAATATCTAATTTTTATAGATTTATTAGAAACCACTTTTTAATATTACCTCCTTTCAATTAAAAGGACTAAAAATGATTTAGGGTGTTTTAGTAATTCAAGTCGATAAATATTTTATTTGTTATTTAAACTGGGCTTTTGTATTTTGTTAAAAGCCCATTTATTTCATCGCTTGATTGTTAGTGGGCTTAGCCATTTGGGCCTTTCAGATAATTTCACAATTGAAAGCCCAAGATAAATCAGGAAGAAAAAAAAAAAAAAGAAAAAAACACGAATAAAATAATATTATAAAAATAATTTTGTAAATATTTTATTTTCAATAGTATATGTTAGTAAAATATAACTAAGATAAAAGCAAGAATCTAATGATAACAATATAACCTTAAAAGTTAAAAGTTATTAAATATATTTTAATGTAAAAAAGATACCTTAGACATAACCCATTTCAAAATTGTGGGTAAAAAAAAACCTTATAAATTAACTTAATGGTAACAATATTTATTTACCAAAGACGAAATTCGAACATAATGATACTCGTGCTAGACTATTCGAGGTATGTTTAGATTACCCATTAACGTTCTTGTTAAGTCATAATATAGAAAGGGTGTACTTTGTTCGACAATGACTCTAAAGAAGGAGTCGATCCTCAATAAGGAGAGGTTCTATGGAGAGTTCATGCTCAAAGTGGATAATATCGTGTCATTATGGAGGGTTATGGATCCTAGCGAAGATCAAACTTTTAACGTTTAGAACGAGAGATGATATCTAACTGTTCCGAATATTCATTTGAACTCTCATCCACAAATGCATCTAATATATCTCCAACCACACATTCAACACTAAATATACAAAGGTAAATGATGATGATGATATTGAGATGAAGAAATAAAGAGGGAAACAACTAGCAAATGTTGTGATGATAGCAATAATTAATAATCTAGCCCTCTCCCAAGTATATAATAAGGCTTTTATGTATATTATGTATTGGAGTATTTGAAGCTATTGGGTTTCCTATACCTAAAAAATCGTATTTTTCGGTTAACCCATTTGATTGTTTCGGCTGATTTCGAGGTCATTACCCGGCCAAATCATGAAGCAATTGAGTACCCATCAAATTTCTATAAGGAAGATTCTGAGTCGTTTCTCCATCTAAAACAGAATATTGAACTGGTTGGCATTCTTCTATATGATCTCTTGTGAAGAAAATGGAGCTTTGAGTCGCTGCTGCAGCCGCCGCTACTGGTGAGAAGGCGATGCTCACACCTTCGCTGATGTTCCTCCCGCCTGCTGCATGCTGTTGTAACCCTAATGTCAACGACACACTGCTACTATTCCCGTTGTTGAAATGTTGATTGTTGTTGTTGTTGAGGTACGAGGAAACTCCGCCGCTATCGTGGTTGTAGGACGAGAAGTTGAGCTCCACCATGTCGAATGCATCAGCAGCGATCCGCCCAAAGTTATGGTTATGGTTGTTATGGACATGTTGCCCTTGATAGTTTTGCATGGCTTTCATGGCTCTTGAATCATTCTTCTCCGAGCTATTAGAGATGATTGAAGAGAGACCTTCCGAATCTATTTTTAGAAGTTGGTCCGACGTCGGCTTCCGATCCTCCACCCCCGTCGGGATCGATCGTTGACCGTCGATCTCATCGTCGAAATCCATCATCCCGTGGAAAGAGTTGTTGCCATTGTTGTTCATGTTGTTGAAGTTGGTGTTATCAATTTCTTCTACTTGTTCCTTTGTTTCCTCTAAATACATCTCCTCCACCATTGGCTTCCACAGCCTCACCCTCGCATTAATGAACCAATTCGACACCTAAACCAAATGACAAACAAAAACATCATAAGACAAACATCCTAAGACAACAAAAACCAAATCTAATCATTACCCATTTCATAAAAATGAGGTTTAAACGTTTATAATTCATCAAAATCATTAAAAAAGAAAAAAAGTGGGGTTTTCTAAGAATTGTACTGGGACTTGCCTGGCTTCTTGAGAGACCAGTTTGGCGAGCTAAAATGTGTTTATCCACATCGCTAGGATATCTACAAAAGTTCCGACAACATTAATCGAAGAGATTAAATATAGAATTAAACGTCTTATAATTTAACTATGCATCAAAAAGTTTCGAATACTCGATCAAACAGCTTCGATTTCGATATCGAAACTGTTCGATCGAGCACTCGAAACTAAAAGTATGAAGCGAGAGAGTCTTTACGGGTGAAGAAAGTGTTCGAAAAGCCAAGCACGAAGAATCGAGACAGAACTCTCGGGGAGGCCACGTTGAGGGCGCCAAGGATGGCTTTCCATGATGCTGATTTGATGGAAAGCTCTTTGTTGCCTTAAGGCCTGATCAATCACTCTAAGCCTTGGCGTTTCTCCTCTTGTGGTACCAGGTGCAATTGGATCCTTTTCTCCCATTGCCTTTTTTGTGGCTTGAATTTGCCCCACAATTCCATCTTTTAGGCTCCTAAAATGCTTCGACATCGCTTTTGATGCCAACGCCGAGTACACCCTCGCCACCCCATTCCCGGCCACCGCTTCAAACGACGCCACCACCGCCTTCATTTGCTCGCAATAATGCTTATACCTTCTTTCAACCTACAAAGATCAAATCTTTTTAAGTACCCAAATACCGATTTATCAACAGAGTTCATAACTCAACTAAATGCCCCGAGCGGCCTCCGACCCATTTGAAGTAAAAGCGGGTTATGTAATTTTACCTCTTCAAGCAAGGAAAAAAGCTTGGTTTTTCTCTTTTGCAATTCCATGAAATCAAGCGATTGAAGAGAGGAGTTGGTAGAAGAAATGGCTTGGTTTTGGTGCCTATTGTTCATATCATTGGTGATTTCAAGGCTACAAAACTCATAAAGAAGCTCTTGAGTTGGGGCCAAGAATTTGGAGTTTCGAAGCTGAAAAATGGCCGAAGATGATTGTTGGGTTCTTAGTTCAAAGGATTGTAACCCAATAGAAGAAGGATTAGTGGAACTAAGAGACAAAGAAAGGCCATGGCTTGGTCTTTCGTTTGCTTCACATGGAAACACACATCTCAACGACGAATCCGCCGCCTCCGCCGCCCCCGCCGTCGTCCCCCAAGGCCCAACCACCATCAAGTGGTGATGAAACTCATCATCACCACCACCGCCGCCGCCGCCGAACTCGTTGTTCACTTGCAAATTGAACATCTCCGCCGGTTCGGTGCTGGATCCAAATCCGGGTTGGATCTGGATGGAATTGTAATAAAATCCACCAACTACCATCTCGTTTGATTTGTCTTCTCCAGCCATGAACTAAAAAGAAAAAGGGTTTGTTTCAAATCCGACAGCTTCTTGTCGTTCCCTTTTTCTTGGGATCTAAGCTGCAAAAACCAAAACAAGATTAAACCCACTTGAATTCATGGATTTAAGGCATTGGGTAGAGAAAAGTTTGAATTTTTATGGAGTGTAGAGAGAGAAGAGAAGAAACCCATATAAGAAGGAGGACGGCGCCTGCGACGGTGGAGGAATCTTTGTGGGGTGGTTTCTAATTTGTGATGTGAATTGGGAGAGAAAGAGGTATAATAATAATGATGATGATCATGAGTTATACTCTTACAACAATTTTCTCTCTCTTCTGCTCTGAAAATCTGTTGTTTTTGGTTGTTTTTGTGTTTAATGGGTGAATTCAGAAAGGGATAAATTGGTCGAAAATAGGGTTCCTAGAAACAAACACAGAGAATCATAAATGTTATATATATATATATATATATATAAACAAATAATCCCAAGTTTTATACAAAAATAAAAAATAAAAAACAAAAAAGAAATAAAAAAGATGATTACTTTATGAACAAGTAGAGAAAGAAAGTGAAGGCGCCGCCATTGTTACGATCTCCAATGGTGAAATTCCATGGATTCAATGGAAGAACAGGGGAGATGTGGGCAGGCTTTTTCAGAGAGATTGGGAGAGATTGGGAGAGATTTACAGAGAGAGAGAGAAATGTTCCCAAAATGAGTGACTGTGGGAAGGGAAGGGAAGGGAAGAGAGGAGAGGGGATGAGGTGGTCCTGTCATGGCCATCTAATTCTCATTTAATGCCTCTATTAAACCCCTTCCCCCCCCACCCCACCCAATTCCCCTCTCTTCCAAATATTATACCCCAAACTCCCCTCCACGCGCTCCCCAACCCACCCGTTTCGGTATCTTACAAGTCTTTAAACTTTTTTGAAGCGATTTATGAGAATAAGATGTCTCAAAATATAGTCTTAGTGGAATAGTCAACAAGAGTGAACCGTTAGAATGGACTGAAGAAGCTCAATGAGAACCGTCAGAGATCATGTAGTGCCTATCAACTTAACCTCTATTTGTCGGGTTGTCAAAAAAATTCATATACAATTTGAGGGGTCGAAGTGATTCCTCAAACAAATAACAAACGAAAATTATTTCGAAATAATGTTTTGAAAGAGAATAGCTTCAAAATATAAAATTAAAAAAAAATAATTAAAAAAAAATTATTTATGGTTTGTTTAATTTTAACAAGTCAAATTATTTAATAATTTTGACCCATTTAAGTTTTTTTCATTAATAAATATATTATAAATAATATAGTTTTTAGATTTATTTTTGTAATTATATTAATAATTATTCTCAATTAAATAATTTTAACAAAATTATATAAACATAAAATTAAGTATTTATTAGTTATTTAAAAAATTTGAGGCTTATTTCACACGAGATAAAAAATATAGAGATTTATTAGATAATCTCGATCGAAAAATTTAAAAATTAAATTTATAATTTATCGTACATTTATTTTGGCCTTGTTATGGTTAGTTACTTTTATTATATCCATTTATGAACATATAATAAATTGTCGTAGAACAAATGTCTGCCACGTCATTATGGGAACTATTGCTTAGATGTTGGCGTTACCTTAGACAATTTTCTCCCAATCATATTTAAATAGCTAATTAATTATAAGCAATTTTTTTTTTTTAATGTCTAGTGAATAATTTGTCTTTTAATCCATGACATTATCGATACTACTCGATTTTTTTATATTATAATGTGATATCGTACACTTATCGTTGTATTATGCAATAAACCATAAAAAAAATTATATAATAATATTGAAATTATAATTTTTAATAAAATTAGGAAATATTATTCTAATTATAAATAAAATAGTTTTGAAAAAAAAGTTAAAAACACAATAATAAATTCAATGGTGAAAAAAGTTATTAAATACTTTTTAAAACCAAATAATCAATATAATTATTAATATTTTATGAATTAATAAAATTCATAGCCTAAATTTGTATTTTTATCGAAAATCAAAAGGAGCGTGGTGTACGCGCGTAGAGAGAGAGAGTGGAGAAGGGAATAAATTTTTGTGTGCAAAAGCATGTGGTCCTATTAAACCCAACCTTTCTCCGCCGTTTACTAATTTCTCCCCTATGCCCATTACGTCATCATTTTCTACTAACCTACGCCATCTTACTCTCGGCGCAATTTAGAAATTCCACATTTTTTAAAATAATAATAAATTAAATAATCAATTATTTTAGTATCCGGATAAAAACGTTTGTAAAAGGTTAATCAAAATAAGATTACTCTAAACTAATTAAATTTATTTATATATCTCTCGTTTATTCAAGTATGATAAAATATTAAAAAATAAATTTAATTAAAAAAAACTAAAAAATACGATACAACATTTTAAACATTTTTTTTTAATTCAAACGTACGTAACTCTTAATCAATAATATATATTTTACATCACGTGAAGGATTGTATATTATGAAATAAAATTTAAAATTGAAAAATAAAATAATTTAACCTTAAAAAAAAAAACAAGAACAATAATAAGAGAGAGAAAGAGGGTAGAATCCTGTGCAGCGTACTGACACCAAAACTAAAGAAAAGTGAACAGCTTTTCTCAGAATTCGAAACTTGTAACTACGTAGGATGGTCCTTGTTTCCTTTTGTTCTAAAACCACCTTTTTAATATTTTATTTATTTATTTATTTATTTATTTATAATTCATCTAAATTTTAATATCCAAAATTTTAAAACACATTATTATTTTATTTCAATTAATCTCAACTGTTTTCAAAATTTTAAATTTTAATTTTTTATTTTTTTGACAATTTAAGAAAATTTCCGACCCACAAAAGTGTTAAGAATGAGAAATAGAATTGAAGCTAACAACTAATAACTACTATAAATAATATATTCTCTAAATATTATATTTATTAATTCACCGTCATGGACCATTCTAGTTTACTTTATAGTAAGGCAGACAGCTTTTCTATAAACCCTCCTTTCATTCATTTTTGTTTTGACCAGGAGTTCCATTTTCGGATCAGTTATTGAAATCTTTTTAAATTATTCCATTTTTCCATCTAACCAACACAAAAACATCGAATCTTTTTTATCCAAAAAATCCGAATACTCTTTTTTGGTCGGGATAATGTTATTCTTTATAGGGTTTGAGTAATTATTGGTTTGCAAGATTCGTTCACGAGCGTTAGAACTCACATTCACACTTACAAAATACAAAATTTAGTTGAATATTTAGATATTTAGATTCTGTACCCCATTCAAAACGAGCTTCTTCAAGTGACTTCTTACCGATGTTAAAACATTAGCTTCTTTGTTTAGGGTTGGAGCCTCGAATCTCGGGCTTGTCACCGTCCTATTCCTAATCAAGAGTTTAATTAATATAATTAGGGTTTTGTGGAGATTGTTTGAAATTGATAGGATATATTCAATGCTAATTAAAATCATATAATCATCATTAACCTTTACTAATCACTAAATTAATCATGCTAAGTGACTTAATGTCTTATTTAATTCTCTTAAAACTCGATTTTTAATGAATGATAGCAACGTTTCATTTCTTAACTATACCTATGAAACTCTTTGTAATAATGGTTCGATCAATAAAATTCAAACTATTTTACTCTATTTGTATTAGAATAGGCTATACTATCGACGTTTGAATTATATTTCAGATTCGTTTTAGGGTTTTCGAAATATTTTTGAAAAATAAGAAACGAAAAATGAGAAATAAGAACTACCGAACACCTTCTAGAAGCTTTTAGGTTTGTTTCGTAAATACATGAGAATTTCTTTTTAATGAAACCCTAAAACTAGTTTTAGTAGGTTGAAGGAAGAAATTTGTTGAGCAATTTATTGAATTTTTTAAATTTGATTGGGACTTTGATATAATTATGCATAAATTTACAAAATTACCCTCCAAATTTAATTTATTTTATTTTGCAGATAAAAATATATTTAAATTAAATTCTCGAGAGAATTTTCATTGAGATAGAGGTGTTGTAGATTTCTTATGAGGACGAAGAAGACTTCCGGTCTCGACTAGGTTGGATAGGCATGGAATTGACTTGTCTAATAGTTTGAATTTTATTTTTTAATTTTGCAATATTTAGAGTTGCCACGTCATTACACTTCGAAAATGTGGGCCACTCACACCCTTTACTGCCAAATATACAATCTTAATTCGAATACTGGGTATGAGATATTACATCTGGTATTAGAGTAGGAATCTCTCTAAATACGATACCGTTCGATAACAAATCAAAATATGCATATAACGCTTGAACGAACTGAAACTACGTTAAATAAAAATAATTTTATGTTGGGTGAAAAAATGAGAAGATAATAAATAATAAATAAAAAAGAAAATGACGTAGGGTAGGATAGGAGAGAACACGTGTGAGAAATAAAATAATTGACAGTAGAATAAACATTAAAAAAAATAGGATATATAAAATAAATTAAAGGAATATTATAATAAAATAGGAAGAAAAAATAAAACCACCCTAGCTCCCACGAAAGGTGACTCACCGACACTACAAAAGTCAAAGAAAACGACAAAAATAAACGTTTCCTTTATAAATGTCTACGTGGAATATTCATTTAATAATTTTCACTCCATATTTTAATTATTTTTTTAGCTTCCATCTTTTTGCATCTTATTAGGGACATGGTAATATAATATTCATTTTTATGATATGAATATTAATCATTTCAAAATCAAATATATATTTTTAAATTTTTTAAATTTTATTTTTAAATAAAGCAATCAAAATATGAACTAAATCGTAATTTATTAATAAATAAAATTTCTAAATTAAAAATAATAATAATCTTGAGGCTTCAATTTATATATCCATAAGTTTAATTGTAAATAATTTTTTTTTATATTGATTTAGTTAAAAACTTATATAAGATAAAAAAAACGAATCCCGTAAATTTAGATATAAACATAGTTCAACTTACTATAATGTTTAAAATTCGAATTTTGAGGTGAAAATCAAATCATCGATCATATTTAGATGATAATTAGTGTCGTATTCATTGAGTTGGGTGTGAATTGACAAGAAGTAAGGATGAAAAAAATTCACTGAACTGAAAAATGCAATTAACCCAACTCAGCTTTTAATTGAACCAACTTAATTTATAGTTAATTTAATTTTTTTCTTACGATACAATTATATATATTTATTTAATTTCATAATTACTTATTTGATTATTTATTTTTTCCCTTCTCTTAAAAATAAAATTTTAATTATTGAAAATGTAATTTTTAATGGTTTATTTTTTTTTTCCAATTATTATTACAAATCTGTAAATATTGCCTCTCGTACTGGACTCATGTAAGCCCATTGGGCCGCTGGATGTTAGTCTTGGATCCATCCAAGCCCACTGAGGCCCAATTTCCAAGATACCAAAATCTTAATTTTAGTCTAAGTCTTTCCACTCTTGGTAACAATATTCCTATAAAGTATTATTGTACTACAATTATTATTATTTTTAAAAATAATTTTTCATAAAAATTAATTTTTTAAATTATGCTATTTTTAACATCGGTGCGGTTTCACCTATGAACCGGGTTCAAACGTAGCGTAGGGATGTGACTAGTCATTAATTCTTCCTATTTGAGTTATATGTTATAAATGTTGTTGTCTCTTACTGCTGGCTAACCTATATTCTTGCTTCTCAAAATGTTTTCTAAAACCTTCGACTTGAGTATAGATCGCCCG